ACAACCGAAGGCACCGTTTTTCAAAATGATAGCTTTTGCCTGTCTATGGAAGCATCCTGCCTTATCATTCGCTTGTGGATGACGGGCTACCTTTCGAAGCTGAGTGCAGCTTTAAAGTGCTGTTTAATCGTGAAATAATCCATGCTAAAAACGGCTCCCACTGTCGTTTGTTTTAGAAGATGGACATGCAGTGTTCATGAGCCACGAGCGATGATTTCAGAAGTAGTATTTTTGGTAGGTACTGATTATATCCATCTTCATAACCTGCCCCTTTAGATGAAAAGATGCATGCATCTACTGGGTTGTGGTAGGGCTTTTACAGTGCTTATATGGATGTGGTCCAGATGAGCGCCTAATGCCGTGAAAGGACCTAAAGAAACTTTTGTGTACAAGGTGGTTCTACGCTTTGGACGGAAGAAGAAGTGTGGCTGATATCTATTCAGAAACATCAGGCGTAGCTGACAAGCAGGTAAATAGGGTGGCTTGTTGCACCCGTAAGTGAACCAAAAACTTACCAAACTGTTTGGATAATTATTTCTCTTGAATACCATCAAACGCAAGGGTACTGAATTGGGAGAGACATTTGCTGCTACGATGTACACCAGACCCTCCCCAAGGTTGCCCAGAGAAGTTTTCTCCTCACCAATCACATCAAAATGTAACTCACGTGGGAATGCACAGATAACTATGGAGAAGTACTTCGTTCACCAGGAGGGGAAATTTCTGCTGGTGATTTCACAACCCCGCGCCAAGATAACAAGATAAAAAATGTGACATCATCACACACTTTAAGAATGCTGCAATTGTTATTTTTCCTTTTGGTTCTTAGTGGAACATACGGCTTCGGTAGTACGTCTCTAATGCACTATCTCCTCTTCAGTCTTCTTAGCCCGGCTTCACCACTACCCATAACCTTTCTTTTCTTCCTCACACGATCCCCTCCATGTCACCCTCGGACGACCAACTCATCGCTTCACACTTGGGTTCTACTCGAGTGACTGGCCTGGCGGGTGATATCCCCAGTCGGTCTTCTCAGTGTATCCCCAATCCATTTCCAATTTCTTTCGCACATTTGATGGGTGATGGGTTCTTGGTTGGTTCGTTACCCGGCCAGAGTTCCTCGTTGCTTTTTCTAATTATTCTGGCCACCTGATCGATATTCCGTATCGAGTGAGCGTAGGCGGCAGTTCTTGATGAATGTCTGTAGTTTGTTGGAAATGCTTTTTGTAACACGCCAAGTTTCTGAACCATATAGAAGCACTGGCTCGACGTTGATGTTGAAAATCCGGATCTTGTTCCTTGTGCCGAGTGCAGTAGATCTGCACAGTGATCTCAGATTATTGAAAGCCTTTCTTCGTTTTCCGATCCTGGTTTCGACATCCCTATCTGTGCCTGTGCCGCCTGTAGTTGAAGCGATTCTGCCTGGTTAGGTAGGTGAAACAGACAACTTCCTATAGGCTTCTCCCGTTCATGGTGATTGGTGCTTGCTGTTGATGCTGTTGGTGGTTGGCATCTTCATCACCTCCGTCTTCTCTACATTCACTTGAAGTCCCGTTTTCGCTGCCTGTTCTGTCAACTTGTTGAATTTTGCCTGTAGACCTTCCAGTTTATGCGACAAGATATTAGACATAAATCATCATCGTCGGTGAGATCCAAATCTCATAGTCTTTTCATCGTTCCAGCCAGCTTAGACCCATCTTCTCGCTCCTCACATTTTGTTGCATGATGCAGTCCACTGCAATCAGGAATATCATGAGTGATAGTAGACAGCCCCTTCTTTCTCCTGTCTTCACTTCAAAGGCATCACTGAGCTTTCCGTTGTGAATCACTTGACATGGAGCATCATGTAGCATATGTCTGTTGAATGAGGTTGATAAAGGTTTGTGGTATTCCGTAGTGTTGAAGCAGTTGACAAATTACTTGTCAGTCGACGCCGTCGAAGGCTTTTCAAAGTCGAGGAAGAGAGTTGACTGCCATTCTATGCCCTGTTCTATGATGATGCGTAGCGTAGCGTGGCAATTTGATCCGCCCATGGTTTGTACTTCTTGAATCCAGCTGTTTCGTCGTAATTTTGAATCTGGCGCATCCTCCTTTAGTCCCTCCAGGATGATGCTGATTAACATTTTGCTTGGGGTCGACAGGGACAGCAGCATGATTCCGCGCCAGTTACTGCAAACACTTAGGTCGCCCCTCTTCGGGAGTTTGACGAGGTAGCCCTTCTTACACTCGGCAGCCACCTTTCCTTCCCTCATTCCAAACCTTCTGCAGTAGTGGTGTGAGCGTGTTCGCTGCTGTCTCTGCATCTGATTTCAGTGCTTCTGGCGGAATTTCATCTGGTTCTACTGCTTTCCCACATTTCAGTAGCCTTATGGAGTCCAGGACTTCGACTTTTGTTGGGGGATTTGTGTTCACTTGTAGTTCTGTGGCAGGGCTGCAGGTGGTATTTCTGGACGAAGTGCAGGTGGTGGTCGACTCGAGAGCTGTTTGAAGTGGTTAACCCATAGTTTCCTCTGTTTCTCCTCTCTGGTAATTAGATTTCCTTCATCATTTTTATTGCTTTCATCTGCGTTAATCTCTTCCCTCCCAGGTAGTAATCTGGTTATTTGATTCAATGTTGTCAGGTCTCTGTCTCTCCCACCTGCAGCCTGCAGACTGTTCCGCTTCACTTGCCAGTGTGTCGTAGAAGTGTCTTTTGTCTTTGCATGCACTCTTCTTCACTTCTTTGTCCAGTGTAGTGTTTTATACATTGTACTCAGCTCTTCTTTTCGTCGTGCATCCTTGCACTGGTTTATCTTCTACTTCACCATCCTCCTCTCCCTCCTCTGTCCGCTTCCAAGTGTCCGTCAAGATCTATTCCTTATCTTATTTCTTCTTCCTTCCTACCACAGTTATGCAGGTTTCCTTCCATATAGCTTTCAAAGACTTCTAGTGTTCATCCACACATGTTTCTTCAGAGATGTTGCTTGATATCTCCCATTTTGTCTTGATGGCTGATGTCAGGGTGTTCCTTGTACTTTCGTCCTTCGGTTCCTGTTGTGTGTATTGAACTTGAACTATGGTCTATCAGCAACCCTTTTGAAGGTTTTCATCTTGATTTGGAAGGTTCCTTGCACTAGATAGCGAGTGGTGTGGATCTACATCTACTCCTCTTCTTGATCTGATCTTGTGTCAAGTAGGCTGCGTCTCCACTTTCGTCACATTGAGATGAAGTCGACCTGATTCTCAGTGTGTCCTGGTGTCTGGTGAAATCTATGTCGTTTTGTGGATATCCTTGTGTTTGTACACAGTGCCTCCAATCACCAGATCGTTGAATGCGTAGAATTCTGTAAACAGTTCCCAATTCTTATTCGTTTCACCAAGTGCTTCTCGACCCATGGTTAGTTCGCTTCCTGTGTTGACCACTCCTAGTTTGGCTGGCATCCATGTCACCCCACCCATTAGAATTTTGATGTCGCCACCTGGAGTCTTGTCTGGTACTGATTGCAGAGGTCTGTAGAATCCCTCCTTCTTCTTGGCCTGATCTGCATTATTTGCAGGTGCGTGGCGTAGCATTGTATGATTGTGACTTTGCTTCCTTTTGAGTTGAATCCATCTTGGTGTCATGATCCTGATCCTACAAGAGGAGATTGGTTGCCACTTCATGAGAGAGAGAGAGAGAGTCTTCGATGCTGTTGGGGACATCATGATAGCCACTGTGAAACTCAGTGTGCTCGTGGTTGTCGTCTGAATGACCATATCGTGGAGTAGATTATTGACTCTCCAATTGAGAGTTTGGAGAGTCGACTTCCATTCCACCTGCTTTCGCAGATTCCAAACACTTCCCTTCTCTTTTGTAATCTGGACAGCCTAATAGGTTCAAACGTAGTGTGGACATTCCATGTTCCTCTGTTTACTTTCGCTTTCATCGAGAGAAGCGAAGACACGTCGGCTGACTGGTTTCGCGAAGGCTTTCACCAGTCGGCGTCATTTCGTCTCTCCAATCGCAGTGAGGAATAATTTTGTTTTTATTTTGTATATTTTTTGCTTTGTGCTTTGAAGTTTGTTCAGCGATTGTATTGGTTTTGTGGGGTAGGGTTGCTAGCCCTCTGTCCAACCTTCCTTCTTTATCTGGGCCTAGGACCGGCTAGTAATTAGTGAGCTAGTTTACGAGGCGTTTTTCCTGTCGCTGGAGGAGTGTCTATTCTATGGAATGCCATTACACCGTATATAGTTAAAGTGTCTTCGGTAATGTCCTTCGAAAAGATTAATGGGGAAATTAAAATGTAAGATGCCCTATCAACATTAACCGGGAACTACAAACATATTTGGTACTTATATAACCCATACTACATATGCTAACTGAATTCGCTTTATACAAGTTACTTTCCCCATATTTCTCCAACTTCTTCCTGACTTAGACGTACGGGAACAACTGAAAGGCGCCCAAATAGACAAAAGTCACAAGAAGAACTGTAAACCAGATTGGCAAATCAGTAACCCTCTTTAAGTAACATGTAAACAAGGAGGACAATTGCAGAAAACAATCCCCTCTAGACTGAAAACGGGGAAGTTGAAGAGATTATATATTTCTCTGTAGGATTGTAGGCCCACAGAAAAAAATGGGCCTGAAGAAAAAGGGGTCGGAAATCTAAAAGATTAGTTTCATACGCTCCCGTGTCAACCTTCGTTGTATGTTAAAGAATTCTCCGCGTGTTTTGGAAGGGTTGCTACTGCGACGCAATGGGGAAGCGTGATAAATCTAAGAAATGTAAAAGTGAACACATGAGCTCTAAAAAGTCTCAGAAGAAGTTGGAACAGAAGTTAAAAAAAGTCGAAAAGCAGTCTGGTGATTCTTCAATCGAGGATTTGATTCGGAGTTTTAAGGATCATCAGAAAAATATCACAACTGTGTCACTGGTTCCAATATCCCCTCCTACCCAAGGCATGCATTTTAGTTACCTCCTGCTAGACTCAGATCTCACTTTTCCTTTGTAGCTTGTCCAGATAGTCAAGAACTTATCATGTTCGGCGGTGAATTCTATGACGGTCGGAGGGTTGTTTTGATGTTTTTATTGGCTTTATTCCTTAGGTGAATGTATTTTCGGACCTTCTAATTTTTCAATGTAAGGACAACCAGTGGTTTAGGTTGGAATCTCCTAACTGCCCGCCGCCACGATCCGGTCACCAGGTTTGTGATTCTAGTTTGATTATTCGATGAAGTCGGTGTATGTGAAATCAACTTCCACTCCTGCTAGCTTGTGGATATTTGGAGGGGAGTTCGCTTCTCCATCTCAGACTAGATTTTACCATTACAGCGATTTGTGGTGTCTTAATCTACGTTCTCGAAAGTGGGAGCAAATAAAGTGCGTTATCGAACATACATTATGACTTCTCTCAGCGCAGCTGGACCGTGTGCAAGAAGCGGACATCGTATGCTCACTTGGAAAACTTATCTTATACTGTTTGGTGGGTTTAGTGATAGTGGAAGGTTAGTTGTTTTGATACTAATTACTTCAGCAAAACAACGTATTTTGACGATGTTTGGCAGTTTGATTTAATCAATTTACAATGGACTCGTCTTACACTGACTGGTAATGTGCCTTCTCCCCGCTCTGCTGCTTTGTTCTTTACTGGGACTGATCAAAGGCATTTGTTCATCGTCGGTGGTTACAGTAAATCTTATGTTACTCGTGATCTTGAAAAGGGTATTGTCTATTCTGATGTAGTTAGACTTACATTTGAAAGTAAGTGTGGTTGTTACATTTTTAAAAAGATATCAGTTCACACTTTTATAGAGGTCGTATGAAGAATTTTAACCTTTACGAATGTCAATCACTTTATCGCATTATTTCTAGAAAATGCTCCCGTATTATGCTCTTCTATGCGTGCTTCTGGCGTCCGCCCTAAACCTCCTCGCATCTCTATGAGCGGCGTTCATGTCGGTGGGAATCGTGCCTTATTGTTTGGTGGCGTACATGATGTTGAAAGCGAAGATGGAGAAAAAATGAGCAGTTATTTTCACGATGACTTGTTTTTATTGGATTTCGACAAAGCCAGATGGCATGCTTTCACCTTCTGTGTTGAGAAAAATCCGGACTCTCGTTATCCAGGTTAGCACTTCTAAAATTAGCATTATTCGTGTTCCAAACATCTTTCTGAGCATTTGGGTAACCAAGTTTTCTTGTTCTAAAGCCTTGGCTATATCAAATCCTGTTAGTATTGAGTTAATTGATTTTTATTAAAATATAGTTCAGTGAGTGGGTGCTAATATGCGTACCAATTTGTTAACGACACCAGTTGTAGGGAGGTTAAAATATTTCCCTGTTGCTTCAATAATATTAGGTGAAGTTAGATCGATAGGTGGCCCAGCGTTTATTATTGTATGTCAATAATTTACGTAGTTTTAGTTCAGCATACAATTCTGGCTAAAAAATATTGCGTCAAAAATGAGTCGTTCTTGGTGAAGCCTAAGCTGGATCGATATTTTATATCAGCGGAACGGTGTAGTGAAGTATGTGTTATTTGTTTGGGACCAATGAAATAATGAGTCAGTGGTTAAGCACAGGTAATATTACTCAAATTCGATGATATTGCACATGTTCTAAGTTTCCATCTACCCCTAAATCTCGAGTCTCTTATTTTTGTACATTTTCTGTTCCCCTTAATTCAAGTACTTCGGGCTTATTATGGGAGCAGTGCTTCTGTTTTTGTTTATGCTATTGACAAGTAGTAATCTCAACCCATCCCTTGGTATATAAGGTTCTGCGTCACTAAGCCAAACAACTAAATGTAAGTGATCGTTCCTTAGCATATGTTTCTTGCGCGGAGAATTATAATTATACAAATCGCCTAGAATTATTTAAAACTCAGTCATTCTAAACATTTTGCTTCCTTACGCTTAGCAGCCCACTTCAACGTATGTACTTAGCTCACTACTCATTCTGTTATCGAGATACGACTAGTTGTGGCTCTGGTATGAGTTGCTCAATAATACAAGAATACTGAATGCCAGGTAATGGACGATGGAGCACTTATCTATCTCCGTCCAGCCTCAATTAGGGAAGTAAACTTTCGGTGGATGGAATAGTTACAAAGTGGTTCTGGACCAGACTACCGCTGTTGCTTTTATATGTTTTCACGCAGTTTATAAACGAACACGAAGTACAATGTCACACTGAGGTGCACCAATTAGTAAGTTACTTTAACAAGAAAATACTAGACAATCGGGAAAGATTATTTCACACAAGCAACAAAAGCTGGATTAAAATCAATAAACCTTACTGCAGAGTATTTCTGCGCACAGATAATTCAAGCTTGGAGAGAAATCCCAACAGATATAGTTAACTATAAAACAGCTAGCTGGGTAACTCATTGTCTAGTGCTCAAACCTATACCTAGTTGTTGGGGTGCTTTATTTCATAATATGCATTATCAGCTTAGATTCCGGCGGTTTATGTTTCGTCCAGATTATATTCGTCCCAGAGCTTGATACTTGTTCATGTGTTCAGTTTGATACGTTTTGGAAGCGTAGATAATCAAACACATGAGAGGCAAGTACGAGGAATATTCACTAGGTAACAGCATACATAATTTAATTCCCAAACTATATTCACTAGAAACTGAACTGTGCTTAAACATAATATATAGAAGATTATCACTTCTTTGAACATAGAAATTAGTTCTGGTTGCTTTCATTTTTGTAAAGCTCTCTAGCCTACACTTAGCCTTAAGGCAATGGATCTTGGGTTCATCTCCCACTCCATCGACTTCCATATGTGTGACAATAGTGTCACAGTTCCTATCATTGAGTGTGGTTTGTAGCACAATAGGCTAAAATCTACGGGTTTTAACTAAAGCACCTTTTTTATTAAGTATATGTTTACGCCTGTATAGATAAGTGTCTGGAGCGTTTTGTAACTGAAGAAACTTTCCACCTCAATGTGAGATTGTGGCTTAGGCACGATGTTTGGGGACAGCTGAAAGTAGTCAAACTACATCAAGCCACCAACTGCAACTACTGCCTTGGCGTGGTGATCATTTTATTGACTGAGAGCAAACGTAAAACTTCGCACACAGGTGCATCAACTCGTTACCACCCTTCTCAGTAGTACACAAAAAACAGGTTGACCGAATAAGAGTAACATCAAAGTAGAAGTCATGTGAGAGAATGAATAATCGGAAGATGAAGGTCTGTACAAATATTCAATCTTCGAAAGACGTTAAAGAGTGGATATATCTGCACCGTTGTGACCGATTTTCAGTCCTATCACCAAGAGTCCTCAAGAACTTATTCTTATCATCCCGGTGACCGTAACCAGATAGTCTACTTCTCACTACACGGGTTAGACCAACAGTTAATGACTTCATGGACTTATACCACATCTTGGTCTGATCACTCTGAACTCTCTTCCAACCTAATTCAACTTCCTCTAGGATTGCACGTCGAGGTAAGCTGTGGCTCGGCGTACGCAACAGATGTCCAGTACTCCTTAGTCGATGAAGGTTCAAAACCTCATCAATTGACTTGCCTACCTTGCCTAGTACCTTTTGCCTGACCTCAACATTGCTCAAACGGTGATTTCACCAAACGTGACCAATGCTACGAAGACACGAAGACACCTCTAGTCGTTTTATGTCTTCTGCTTTTCCTTTCTTACAGACTAGGATGATCAGTAAAGTTAATTAGTCTGACGATACTACGTCTGATCCCCATGAACTATCTAGTACCTCCGTCACCTTAATTAGAAATTTCCTACCTCCATCCTTGAAAACTTCGGGTGGGAAACCATCAGGTCCGTCGTTCGAGTTGAAAACGGCTTTCTAAGCTTCAAGGACAGTTGGAGGACCGACACGTACATTCTATTCAGGTTCAGGCTGGATGTTAGACAACTAAAGCCTTGCTGTAGGCCATTTAAGCTGTGCTTCAAAGTTTTCTGCCCAACGTTTTAGCCATCTGTCGTGGTAAGTTATCAGGATATCATCCTTTTTGGTGATGGTCTCACTAATAATCGTTCTCTTCTTGCTGATATACTTAATAAGCCCGAATAGTTGCTGGGTGTTGCCCAACGATGATGCCTTCTTCATCTTTCTCTCTGTCGCCACTGCTCGTGATCTTTGCGAAACCTCTTGGTCAATTTATGCTTAAGTTTCTTTTGCTTTTCCTTGTCATCGGAGCCTGCTGGGATCAGTCTTCTCGCCTCAATCATTTTGGATGATGTTGCGGAAATCGACTGATGTTTGCTAACCTTTGGGTGTAGATTATCGTTAGTCTATCTCTATTTCTACAGGGGACTTAATATCACACTGTATCCTCAGAATGAGCCTTGCTGTCACGTTCAGATAAGTGCTCATCTAACCCTGCCTTAAAACGTACTTGGCGTGATTAAAGTCCAAAGAGGTACTCCAGAAAGAGCGGCAATACTCCACCGGTCCTCTCCAAAGATAGCTTATAGAAATATCCAGGGTTGGTTTGATGTGGATGGACGCCTTGTAAAAAAGTGTCTCTCTTTATGTTTAAAGTCAGTGATGGTCAGAAGCAAGACTTTGTTGCATCAGACGATCACCACTGTTGGTTCGTTGGGATAGGATTCCGTAAATACCACCAAGATGCCTTTCCGATTCGCTCAGTCTCATTACTTTAGTGTTAAAGTCACCTGCCATTGTGACATCTGAACGTTTTGGTTTCTGTAGTAAAATTGAAAGCTTCTCATAGAATTTATCTTTTGCATCTTCCGAACTGTAGTCTATGGATGCGCAGGTGGAGATTACGAATAGGCATCGGTTGGTTTCGCGACCCTTCCTAGTTTTTATGAATCCATCGTGTCGAACAGCAGAGGCAACTGTCGACTGGTATCTAGTCGAGAAGCGCACCTTTCGCTCTACAACTCAATGTTATACCTACGCCAGCAAGTCCACCAGAACTAGCCATTGGGTCTCTGGATACTCGTAAGATGAACCTTGAAGATTCACCGCACTGGTCCAGTGAGGTCAATTTAATGACCATAATTGGGTCCTGTATACGTGTGTCAGAGATACAGCATACATTCGCGGCTAGAGATCCCAGGGTTATAATATGAGACGCCTGTTGTGCGATTCAGCACAGGGTTTGGAAGTTGAACGCTGAAATGTGAAACCGATTACGAGGTTTTGAAAGACTAGGAATGACTAACCGATGGCCTGGATCTTTGTAAATGGTCGCAGAGTGAGTGGTGGAGGAAGTCGTAAGTGGTGTAATACTGGTATCAGCAGGTTAAGGCAAGGAAGAATAAAAGGAAAAAGAGGGTAGATTAGGATCTATTGGGTTTTCTGTACCAGTGATTTTTCCCTGAAACTTCGAAGCAAAAGGATTGGTTGGAAAAGGCTTTCGGGATAATTCAGCCAGGTGTGACATAAATGTCATTTGATAAAGTTGTGAGATATGTTACGCATGCCTAGTCCCGTGGAGGTATGACTCAGGACCTTTGTCAGTGGAGCAGACCTTTCACTAATTATTTTCATCCTAGTTGTCGTGCCGAATTTAATTATTTTATTCCTTTTTGTTACCCTTTTGCAATTTCCTACCGATTTTGATTGGTTTCTTGCTTATTCCATTATCTCACATTTCTCTACCTCCTATCTTGATATCCTAACATGAGACGTTGCTACTTTGATCTTTACGCAGCAATTCCAAATCACTTGTTGACACTAACTAGCTGGAGCGGTCGGTATATGTCAGCCGCGCTTATATGCGTGAGGATGCAAATCCTTTCTTATGACTGTCAGCCTTTCACATCGCTGTCTGAACTTTTTTTACGTGTCTAGATTTTTACAGCTCTACAATCCATGTTAACCACTAGAATTCATAGAATGACACCCCTATTTTGCATGAACCGCACTTCCAACCGAACATATGGGTTTCCACTGTCCAAACATTCCCGCTAAACTCAATCTGGCTATCCGAAACTGTGGCACTTTGGATCATAAGCATGCAATATATTTCTGAGGCGTATACATGACGCATAATTGTGGCTATTCACTTAACTTTACCTGACTTGTTTGGTGACCCTGTGTAGTCGACCGCCGTCATATCTCGGGACCATTTTTTGTAGTCTCACAGGTCTAAGTATATCGT